AGGAACAAAACAGAATCACAAGCTTCTACCTGCATGGCTGTGTAGAAATAAAAACATATGCTGACTTTTATGAGGCATTTTCTTTGAGRTGAGTTATGGAAAGCTGTTCCAAAACTCAGTGAATCATAAATTAAAACGTGTAGTGGACAGAAAACTAATTTTGCACCATGCCTTCTAGGCAGGTGCAGTGGCRAGCAGACCCCATGCAGTTGCTCATAAATATGTGGGAAGTCACCACTGCTGAAATTAGCTACACCAAAAGGCAGCTGAGGAGCTGCTTCTGGTTATCCTGCCTGGGCAGGATAATCCACAGCCAGCCAGGAGCAATGGGGACACCACAGTTTAGGKTTTTTTTCCACTGTACCAATACTTCTTTGAACAAGAACACTTCTTATTCCATGCAGTGCTCTAGGGTTGATCTGGGAGGGTCTCTATAGTCAGCACAGGCTCTGCATGTGCACTTCTGCACTGCATCCTGGAGAACTGGCTCTTGGGGAGGAGTGGGAACTTCAGGGCACTGGGTACAAAAAACCCAAAAATATTTTTAAAAGATAGAAAAAAATGCAGTGTGTGGATTGTGCTGGAAGTACTGAAGAGTGGAAGGGTGTAGACAGCTTGTCTCAAAGTGTGGAACAGTTCTAATGGAGTGTAGCTTATTATCTCCTTGGTTCAGTAAGTKTATAGTGACTTTAGTAATGGTGTCTTTTCAATTAAAAACTTCTAAGAAGCTCTTAGATGTGARGTTGGGTAAATTCCCTTCAGTTCAGGGAAAATGCTCCAAATGTATGTCAGTGAGTGAGAATCTGTTTTATCTAGGAGGTTATTGCTTGTAATGATCCTTGACCAACAACCCGTGTAAAACTGCATTTTTTCCATAGATACCAGAGCAAGAACGTGCATCAARCACAGTCTGAAGTTTCTGGACTGAGAGAATAGATCAATCTATATGGWCAGTTTGATCCCCCACCTCTTAATGAAATGCCAGGTTTGAGGGCTTTAATTGGGCATTGTTCTGTAAGGAACTAGGCCAAGGCTGATAGGTCACTGCATRAAAGGCAGTACAGAGAAATGTCTCGTGACACTGCCAACCAGGGCCCCAGCTCCATCATCAATAGGCACTCAGATTTTAGGTGTTATCTCATSTTTCAAGGAAAATAGGCTACTGATGTCTTTCAGCTTTTTATTATATGGGCCACTGCATTTTACCACATCTCAGAAAGAGATATCAAAGCATTTTTCAGATTCTTTCTAGCAAGAAAAATAGGTGACTGCTGGAAACTGTGGGTTTTGACCATTGGTTAAATATAGCTTGTAAAAGAATCATCCCTTTTTTCTGTGTGTCACAAGTCACTTGGTTAATTAATGTTTGTTTTCGACTGAACTGCTTTAAGTCAAACTGTGATTAATTCTGGCAGAAAAAAAAATTAAATAGAAAATTGCAGTAAAACACTATTATGTCATAAATTGAAAAGAAGGATGAGTGATGCCAGAGAGCAATTCACCATACATGAGGAGAACAATTTGTTCTTGTTCTGCATGGTGGAAGACTTTCCCTTTTGGCCATGAGCATATAAATATTTTAACTGCAGAGTTGTAAGTATGTACAGTGATAAATAAGCTTGCAATAACAGAACATCAAATGATTATTCARAATATCAATGGAATGTCTTCTTGCAAGTGTCTGTAGTTTGCAARTAACCATGTACTCCTGATTTAAGGTGTCTGGATGAAAACTCTCTGTTCTCACACCTGGATCAATCATCTGTCCAGATCGTGCTCAAGCTCACAATTTTTTTTGTATATATTTACAGATGTAGCAATTTATTAACTAAAAGTCAAGACTTCCAATAGTGCAGTAACAGCAGATTTGAGTACATTAAGTTGAGGTTATTTACAAACAATACTACCTATAATTAATGGTTTGGGTTAACTAACCTGGGAGAAAATAGTGGAAATTATACTTCTGGTCTGCTTAGAGGGAGGAGAATTCTAAAGTTCTATGTGTTCAATACTGCCTGAAGCCTTAGAGCAGAATTACACTGAATCAGTATGAAAAAAATGAGCTTGTATTTGGTGTTCAGTAAGAATAATTGCTTTCAAATTATTTTTTAAAAATGTTTCATTTAACTGCTGAGATTCTGTCAACAGACTCTGAACTCACGTTCTGCTGTCAAAGAAGATGGAGAATATTGACTAAAAACAACAGCAATTTCTACAGAAGGAAAAGACAAAATTTGGACTGTTGAATTCACAGTTCTGCATAGAAATTTAAACTAAAACTAGTACATAAAGGCAAAATCAAGATAGGAATGATCTTGGTAAGCAGGCACACAGGTAGAGCAAGGAATGTGACTAATTCTGCTTTCCATTCAAAGCAGAAATGATCCTAACCTGGTGTTCCTGGRAGCCCTTTACTCCCATGGTTGTAAGAGCACTTGAGCTTCAAGAGCCCATTTCTCCAGGCTGTTTCTCGGTGTTTCCAGGGGAATTCCCCTTCATGAAAGCACATCTCGCTGTCTGAGTAACTGGCAGCATCTCACACTCCAGTCCTGTTCCTTGAAAGAACAACTTCAGCCCTAGCAGGGAAAAGAAGTGTTCTCAGCACCCTCAGGTTTGAGCATAATGAATACCCAAGGCCAGCCCTTCGCTGCAGGCGTGGAATTTGCACAGATTTGGCACCGTTGAGCTGTGTGCAGCCCCCAGCAGTGTCGGCTGCTGCCGGGCTGCCCCTGCCATCCCCAGGCATAGGGGACTGTCCTGGGCTGGCCTTGTCGCAGCTGTGCCATGTCCCAGAAGGGGGACAGCCATCTGACAGCTTGGGGACGGGGATGTGCTGATGGAATTGGGGGGCCATTGGCCCTGCCAGTGCAGTTTGTGGATAGGCACAGGTGTTCAGGTGCCACACAGCACGTCAGGCTCACAGACAGACAGACAGACAGACAGACAGACAGCAGGACTCCCCTCCAGCCTTCCCAGTCAGCTCCTTTCTCTCGCTGGAGTGGGTAGGTTTGTGAGCTCCTGCCCTGCAGAGTTTGGGGTTGGTGACTGGGGTTGGTCCATGTGCTGGCTGGGAACCTTTAGCAGCTGCTGTGCACGTCCCTGCACACACTTTTAGTGTCTTCTTGCAATGAGTTACTCCTTTAGTTGCTGGAGTTAATTGTGTTAATGATTTTTCAGCTTTCAAAACAAAAATCCTGTATTCATCTTAATACCTTGCTGTTGCTATGTAGGCAGTCTTTAGCACATGTTTGTGCATGCAGGGATTTAATTAAAACCTTAATAACTAAATAATCACCACACWGTCTGGGCGCCTGTGAGATAGCACTGTGGGGACATTTCCTGAGTTCCTCAATTGCACACCACATTGCTGTGTACTATTTTTGATATTGGGTAATCATAGTCCAGCGTTGCTGCTGAGSTGTGGATGGATTACGAGGCAGCTGGAGCAGCGAGCCCAAGAGCAGTGCTCTGCTTAGGCGCTGTTTGAGGCTTTTCCTTTGATCACACCACAACTGGGAGACACTCACATGTCCTACAGACCAAGACTAGAGTATTCACATACAGTGCCTGAAGTGAGTTTCCTAAATAGGAGGGCTCTGATTGCTTTTCCAGAGATACTGAACACAGAAAACTTACTTTTCAAGTTTTCATGCTTTGCAAAACATCTCTGATAGTCAGGGTGGCGTGGTCAGTACTTTGGGCATTAATCAGTCCTGCAGGTTGAGTGTTCAGCACAGATGAGGTTTCTCCCCAGGTGCCTCTCTGCACTTCAGCCGCTGGGAAATTCCTGCTGGACTCCTGCTTTTGCAAGGGAACGTCCCCTGATTGTTTCTGTGCTGGTGACAACTGCACACGCTGGTCCACTCATGGCTTAGGCAGGTGTCCCCTGTGGGCATTGGGACTGGGACAGCTGCTGCTGTGACCCAACCTGGCCTTGTCTGCAGGGAGCACAAGGCACCGCTGTCCTGCTCTGCAGCRTGGGCAGCACCAGGGCTGCCCCAGGGAAGGGGCTGCTGTGCCTTTGCCTTTGCCTTTGCCCTTTGCCTTTGCCTGTGCTGGCAGCACTGCAGTGCCACATTGCAGAGCCTCTCACCCTRCCTGTGTGTCCTGCTCTCTTGGGACCCTCGGCCCCACGGCTCAGCCCTCCCACACTACAGTGCCCACAGCAAACACCTTTCTGTGTCCCCAGACAATAAAAGAACTGAGCAAGCCTCTCGGTGTAAAGGGGTGAGAGGCAGGGACAGCCTTGGCAGCTGCAGCATGGAGGTGGCTGTCACGTCCTGCTGTGAGCAAACGCTCTGATGTCTGTCCTTGCCCAGGGAGAGCTGTGTCCTCCCTTGGCAGCTCCCAGGGGGTGGGCACCTCTGTCCTGGCTCCCTGTCCCCACAGCCCCGTGTCCTGCCCCATGAGTTACCTCATCATGCAGCGGAGCCGTCCTGCTCTCCTTGGGACACAGTGACGGTAACAGATGTGTTCCACACCTGACCTCTGTATTTCTATAGCTTCTGAGCAGATTTTTAATTTAAAATTCTGCTCTTTACTATAAAAGGTAAAGAAGATGTCAAGGTCTTGCTGTTCCCATTCCRAATGAAATGGGTTCATGTCCTGTTAATCAAGAAGTACAGCCACAGCATTTGTCATTTCCCTATAAAGTAATGGGTGGTTGATACCTGTCATTTCTCAAGAAACTATATACCAGATTATGGTGTATTTATAGAAATCTCAATTGCTGGTAACTTGGCTGAAGCCAAGTTTAGGCATACCATTAGTAACACATAATGAAATGACCTAAGTGGAGTTAGATTTGGGAGGGGGAGGAGAAAGCTATTTGAGTTGGATAGCTTGAGGATGCTGTTTTACTATTAAAATTAAGCTTCTGACCCCTGGCACTGAAGTGATAAAAATGAATCTTCCTATATTTCTCTTCTGCATTTAATCTTCTATATTGGAAAAGATWAAAAATCAAATCTCCTTCTCTCCCTTGTGTCTTTCTTTTCTAGGTACAGGACCTATTTATGCTACAGACCCACTCCTATACATGTCCCTGTTAATACTGCATAAGCTTGTACATTTATTAGTAAACCACTGACGGACTGCTCCCTCCACTTCTCCTCAGCCAGACAGAAAGGAACCTATTTAATAACAAACAATACCCCAGACAAAGAAATCCCTGCGGTTTTAAAGATGGACAGAAAGAGACTGAAAGAAGCATGATAAATTCTACATGGGGGGAAAAAACATATTTTTGGGGATGCCACAGAAAAGTAAAMCACATAGAATAATGCATCTAGTTTCCAGACTCTATGGTGTAAAGCCCTGCTCTGTGCATGGCACTTATGATTTCTCTATTTTAATGTAATATTTTTTCTTTTCTAAACCTTTCCTCTGACTCTTCATTTTGCACGAACTGTTGAGCAGTTATCTTTATGACAATATGTAAAGATGTTGGGTCAAACCCTTCCTAAGAAAGGAAATATTTTTAGTAGATTATTGTGTTTAGGTTTTTTTGGATTTCCTTTTTCTTTTTTAATTAAATTATTTCTTTTGGAGACATTAAAAAGGTACATCTTACCATGATTAATATTCACTGTCAATAATATTTATTTTTAAATGAAGATTGGAAACAAGGTAAGACATTTGTTTATAAACTGTATTGTATATTGCTGAATAACAGTTGAATAAAAAGATTTTGAAATAAAGTTTTTACAGATGTGTGTGCCTTTCCCTGTGTCCTGAATGTCCCTGAGAAGGCTTCTGATGGCTGCRTGTGTTCCCTACCTTGTCACAACACAGAGACTTGAGGGAAGATGCGGCACAAAGGAAGTAAAATTGAAATCAATTATTTTTCAGACACCCTCACCTGATGGCAAAGCCCACAGCAGAAYGTGCAGGCAGCCAGGCTGCAGCTGYCTTTTCCTTGGTTATCTCTGGGCAGTCAAGGCAAGATCTGGTAGATGGACAGTGAGACAGTGTGTGGCATTCAATGTAATGCCCCAGGCYTCTCTGAAGAAAGGATGAATCAAGCAGTGGAAAATGAAAATAAAAAATAAATCAGCCTGGTATGTTGTTTTCCTTAGTTTCAAGATTTGTTTAGAATATATTCAGATTTTTTAAAATGCATAATTGTGTCACTTTCCTTATCCAGGTGAGCTTTCTCTGATCAAGCTTTTTTACAGCAAATAGAGCAGTTATTTTTCTGTTCCAAAATGCTTGTTTTTCAGGTGAGCCAATAGATGACTTTGTTAAGAAACACAATCTTCATTAGCTGAATTTAGTGAAGGACCTTAAAATTTCTGATATCTGACTATGACTCTTACCCTTTTATAGAGCATTTTAGAGAGGTGCTTCCTTGTTGGAAAGGTGGAGTGACAGCTCAGTGGCAGCAGGAGCTGCAGAGCAAATGTGGCACGCCACTGCCTMACCTCATACTCGAGTCCTTTCCTAGGAGGCCATAAAGGGATTGTCATTTTCTCACATGGTCAGGATTTCCTTTTTCCAGGGCTGCCAGTGAGAGCCAGGGATTYGTGCCTCTTGCACTCACTGGGTTTACACCAAAGCACATTGATGTTTGATCCATGCTACTGCAATATGGTAATTAGAGCCTCTTGTATGGGGGCAGACTCACCATGGGGATCCAAAGGTGGTAAAATAYTGCAATAATGTTCATCCTCTTACTGTCAGCTGTAGGATCCTGTGGATTGGGGAACAATCCATAATCATCCCACAAAAAGCCGAACTGCCCGTTGGAAGAACTCAGAGGAGGTGGTTGCTGCAAGCCTGGAAGTGCATCAAAGCATGGGATGCTGAAGAACACAGTCCTTGGCTTCCATGAGTACACAGGAGGGCTGTTAAAGCCGGAAGCAAAAGATAGGTGGAAAAAATCGGCATGTTAGACCATGGCTAAAGTAATGCCATCGTTCCTCTCTGGGAGTTTGCTCAAGGACAGTTGCTCCAGCAGAGGGGTGTGTGGAGTCTGCAATGTCAGGAGAGCTCCAGCCCTTCCACCAAGGGCTGRTCATGCAAGTGAGAATTGCCTGTGTTTGGCCTGGGGGTCCTCTGGCCAGCACTTCATCACTCCTSTTGTTTACTCACGGGCAGGAAGATTTCTCAGGGCCTCATCTTCCTTTTGAGGGAGAGAACTAAAACTTTTCTGCAGGAGGAAGAAGAAAATCTGCCTATATTGATCTAAATAAATAGCTTGCACTTGAAGCAGTGAAGCACATCTATCTAGGAGTTGKTATGCTTCTTTTTCAACTTCAGCCCTACCCCAGCTGGTCTCCAAGTAAACACACATCTGCTTTGCTCTGATACTGTGTTTCATCACTTATGGAGTACATTGTATCTTGAATTGCAGACTGTGTGGTTTGGAGGAAATCTATCAATCATCTTCAGTTTGTCCTTCCCTTCCTTTTCTAGCCTGTTACCTGCAAAGGGATGTGGCAGCAAATTTTGTGTGCAGTGACAGGACTAGAATTATCAAGGTCTTTTAGACTTYAATCACATTAAAGGTGAAAAAATATTAAATCTGCAACTAAAAATAACTTATCCTTTTTCAGATCAGAATTAAGTGTGCCACAGTAGGAATAGCAATTCCTATATTTCAATTTAGCATAAAACTTCAGAAATACTAAACAATAACCTGAAGGTTTGATGAAAAATCTCTTCTAGCAAGAGTAACAGGCATCTTTTCTTTTCAGTGAAGACCTGCACATAGGTAGAGAAATTATTCCAGCAGTCAGGATAACTTCAACAAGTGAGCAGATTGCCAAGATAACCTGGCTTTACCTTCATCTTCACTGTATTTCAGCCTTTAAAATGTGAAAAATGAGTCCTTCGGGTTTTGGGGCCATGGTTTTCACATTCAGGGCACCTTTTTTTTTTGTTAAATACAAAGCCTAAAATTGGCTCCATAGTCCTGTAATGCAGGGGAAATAACTGGCTAAAGAGGAGACTGCAGCTTTCAGTACAGTGTTTAGTCTTTAAAAAGCACTTAAAGGAATGAGAAATATTTGAAGACAAATTGTAAGGAATTTGGAGTCTTATTGCTTGTGAGTGCATGGAGAACTTTTGCTAAAACATGCGTCCTTTGAGAGTGCTCTTTCTTCTGAAAAGGGCAACTGCCTCACTTGTGCTGATTGTATTTACAAAGGGCAAAGYGAGGTTTTGCCGTACCCTTAATGGACAGAGGCTAGTGGCAAATCTTGCTCTTTCATAAATCTCAGCATTCCTCGTGGTGTCTGCTGTCAGAATCGATTAGGAGTAAGTGCCTGGGCCGCAGAGCTGTGGGAGGGTGGYGTGGCTCCTGCAGTGCCACACGGAGGCGGGCACAAAGTCCCCAGCACCGCTGGTGGGGCGGGTGTGCCTGGGAGGCAGCCCCGGGTCCCTGCACTGGGGACAGCACAGGCTCCTGGCACAGCCAGCATGGGAAACGTGAGGGATGGCTGTTGGGGGCCAGAGCTGAGTCATCTGTAATATAATCATAAGGAAACACACATTTTTCCTGAGAGAAAATCAATAGAACTTTGCACTTTTCCTTGTAATATTTCCAGTCTGCGCCATCAGCTGCAGCTCGCTCACAGTTATACTGCCATAAATTCACTACGAGTTAATGGATTTCCACAAAAACGTATGGATTTACAGCTGGGTAACAGAGCTGCTGCTGGAGCCATGCACATGTAAAAATACATGGAACAAAAGTAGTTTGATAGCACACAGGTGACCTTCAAAGTGCCAAGACCTAGTGAGTAAAAAACAAAATTACCTAGTTTGTGGTGTGCTCCTTTTCTGGCAAAGTTCCCGAGGAAAATGGAGCCTGCAGCACTGAAAGCCTCGCTGTGCATGGCAAGAGGGCCAGACCCACTGAAGGGAAGATGGGTGAGTGAGCAGCTTCACGCTAAGATGGAGAGTGCAGAAGACTGTCTCAACATGTCATTTGTCATTTCCTGCATAAAACATTTTGGAGCCTAGTCTTGCTTAGAATTAGTAAGTAAGTAAATAATGTGCTCCCAAACTTGTGTGTCAAAACTAGGCTGGTTAATGTATGAGCTGCCTCCATTGCATTTGTTACTCCACAGCAAATTTCATGCTTAGCCAGAGGCTGGCAAAGTTCATTTATTCATTATCCCCAAACTTTGGGCAGTTATTATTCAAACTCCCCTAGTACATCTATTTAATAAGAAGAGAACAGAAAATTGATGGGATCAGAAATGTTAAAGTCTTAATTAATGCTTTTAGCAAAGACTGATTGGAGGGGGGTTGTTGTGAGAATATTAATGTGCAGCAAGCGCGTGTCTGGCTGGTGTCACTGGGCAGGGGGAGAGCTCTGCCCTGCAGCCTTGTGAGTTGTGGGACACCCCCTGCATCACCCGGGGCTCTGTGCCTCCAGGACAGGGAAAAGCAGCGCTGAAAGCCACGGGAGAGCACTAAAATACCAACCTGTGCGAATTACTGCTGCTGAGGGATAAAGAGAGCGTGTGGATGGTAAAACATCCACCTACAGCACAGTAAAGCGGGGGGGGGGGCTGGTATTTTTCTTCTGTTTCTGGGCTTTTGTGGCATTTCTGTGCAGTGCTGCAGTGGGGGCTGTTGGGCAGCCAGGGGCTTCACTGTGGGCACATGGGGACCAGGCTTGGGTTTTGTTCATGTAGGAGCAGCTACAATGATTCCAAGGAAAATTAACACCTCTTAAAGGGAGCAAGATGAAGGCTGAAGAATCCCAGCAAGGCAGGCTGTGAAGGACCCCTGCATCAACGTGTCCTGCCCCAGAGCAGCAGCAGCTGTGTGTGACAGGGACGGGGAAGAAGGAGGGAGGGTGGGGTGGGGGTTTGTTGCTCAGTTTAAACCATGTTTATAAAACCCAGCAACCTCTGCTGAGCAGAAATGGATAATACCATAAATTAAACCCGTCAGGGATAATACGTGTTTCAGATCTGCAACAATGACAATCCAAAATGTAGCACTGAACTAGGTGGCTTTTTTCAGAGGTCTGTGYTAATGCCAATGAGTGGATTGAAATCTTCTGTTTCTCCTCTGGTGACTGCCTGCCTTCTAATTATAGCAATTATGGGCATTCCAAGTAAAACACAGTTACATTAAGAGTTGAATCAAAGAGGACTGTGATGTAGAGTTAGTTAATGGATTTCCCTATTTGTTGCATATAGATTTCCTTTCCTGTTATTATTGAACTGTTTCTTAAATCTCATATGGAAAATTATCTGTAGTGTAATATAAACTAAATCACCAAGATCTTCACATATAATTAAAAAATGTTTTCAGCTCAATTGAAGATTATACTTTTCCAATAGGAAATGTTTGGTATTTTCTCTGGGGTAGATGGGAAAGGGGGTGTTACTTTTTTTTTTTATTCCATTACCAGATTTCTCAGAAACTTTAATTCACCTCTGTGTCAGTATTATCCTTGAAATAGGAAGCAAAAGGTTAAATCKTTGGGAGTATTATACAGGATGAAAAAAACAGATGACCACATAAAATCGGCTCTTATTTTTTTATTTTCTTGTCATTTTGCTTGGAAATCTGAAGTAATTAATTCCTTTTAATAAACTAAAATAGGAATTCTTCATTATTAAATATTTTTCAGGCTTTTAAGTTGTTCTGACAATCCAGTGAGTATTGTGACTCATTCTGGGTTTTAGGGTGTTCGACATAGTA